AATGTAATCAGATTACCTCACTATTAATCTAAATGTAATCCAAATGTAGTCAGATTACTTCACCTTAAATGTAATCTAAATGTAATCAGATTGTCACTATTAAAGTAATCTAAATGTAATTCAAATGTAGTCAGATGAACTAACGCTAAATGCAATCCAAATGTAATCAGATTATGTCAATATTAAAGTAATCCAAATGTAGTCAGATTACCTCACTTTAAAAATAATCCACATGTAATCAGATTACATCACTATTATTCTAAATGTAATCCAAATGCTGTCAGATTACATCACCATAAATGTAATCCAAATTTAATCAGATTATCTGACCTTAAAATGTAATAAAACTATGTCACTATTAAAGTAATCTAAATGTAATCCAAATGTAGACAATTACCTCACCTTAAAGTAATCCAAATGTAATCAGATTACAACACTATTAATCTAAATGTAATCCATATGGAGTCAGATTACCTCACTTTAAATGTAATTCAAATGTAATCGAATTACGTCACTATTAAAGTAATCTAAATGTCATCCAAATGCTGTCAGATTACCTCACTTTAAATGTAATCCAAATGCAATCAGATTACATCACTGTTATAAGTAATCTGAATGTAATCAGATTAAGACAACATAACAGTAATCTAAATGTAATCCAAGTATAGTCAGATTACATCACTATAAATGTGTATACTAACACATAATATTATTGACTACAAATTTGTTCATGTAATCGGTTACAGTTTACAAATTCCATTTCCATTGTATTGAAGATGAAGGTTGCATATGCAGAGTCCCTCAGGCCAGCAGCTCCAAGACCTTGAATGAACTTCAGCCATCTGGATCTGAAATACGGGTAAATCCATCACTTATGTTCTGCCAATCCATTTAATCCTTTGCTTTAAGTGACTGCGTCAGGTTTGGCTGTGGACGAGGAGCTGAATGTGACTGATGTTCGCAGAAAAACACCTGAAGACTTGGAAACATCCTCATTTAAAAGGTGACCTGTAATACTACAGGATGTAAAATAAGTGTCTGATGGTCCTCTGATGAGTGTGTGGTTTCAGTTTCAGCTCAAAATAGCACAGATAATGTTTTCTAACTCTCTCCGCTTTAAAAGCTGACAGTCATAACAGAGCTCTGTGTGTCTCTTCATCATGTGGTAAACTAAAATATGTTGACTCTTATTTAAAATATAGACTACTATGCTACATACCTTTTTATGTATAGCTTATGAAAAGCACTACTTATAAAGCTGACTTGACTTGGTATGGTGATGTCCAAGCCCAAGAGTATTGAGTATCTAGATTAGTTTACCTCTTAAGTATTTAGTTTCTGAAAATGTTGTTGTGACTCTTCATTTATTCTGAGAATTTCCATCGGTCAAAGAATCTCCGTCCCTCGAGACGTCTGTGGCCTCATGGAGGATCATGGGAGATTTTGTTGACCCTTAAACGCTGTGGAAACGAGCTGCTGTAGTGTTGTTGTGTGTCTGGAGGCGAGATGTCGGATCTTCAAAGCGTCTGCTGATTAAGCATCTCTCTGGATCTCCGGCCTCAACATTGTTAGTGTGCAGCGTTTCATCTTTATCCTGAGCTCAGGGACTACTGGAAGCTCTTTGAGTGCCATTATTGTGGAGAGATTCCTGTTTCACTGCTGCTGTTGTCAAGCACAGGCCATGATTGTGAAGTGTGTTTACAGATAGATGACATAAGTAATGCGGGGCGGAAGTAACAAAGCAATTCCTTAAAGCTTCATAAAAGTAATCTGAGTGTAATCTAAATGTACTCAGATTACCTCACCATAAAGTAATCTAAATGTAATACAATGTAGTCAGATTAAATCACCACAGATGTAAGCCAAAAGTTGTCCGATTACATCACCATAAAGTAATCCAACTGCAATTTAGAAGTAGTCAGATTATGTCACCACAAAGTAATCTAAATGTAATCCAGATGTAGTCAGATTATGTCGCCATAAATGTAAACCAAAAGTAGTCAGATCATATCACCATAAAGTAATCCAGATTATGTCGTCACAAAGTAATCGACTTGTAATCTAGATGTAGTCAGATTATATCATTATAAAGTAATTCAAATGTAATCCAGAAGTAGTCAGATTACAACACCATAAATGTAATCTCAATGTAATCCATATGTATACAGATTATATCACCACAAAGTAATCTAAATGTAATCCAGATGTAGTCAGATTACATCACCATAACAGTAATCTAAATTAAATCCAGATGTAGTCAGATTACATCACCATAACAGTAATCTAAACTAGATAGTAAAGTTTGAGGACAAACTTTATGGTGGCTTGAAAAGCCGAATCTGAAAGTTTGAAGTGGTTTTAAAGTGTAAATAGCATGTTAGTATGATTTTAGCTTGAGGTAACATATTACTAGCATGAATTAGCATGTTAGTAGCATGATTCTTACATGAATTAGCATGTTGTTAGCATGATTCTAGCATGAATTAGCAAGTTACTAGCA